ATTATATATATTACACAATCTAAGGAAATTATATTTTCTAATAAATTTGCACAAGATTTTATGTCAAGAATTTGTCATATATGCAAATTATTTATGAAACATATAAACTACTGATTGTTCTTACTTCTGTGGAGTTATATTGTACTGCTCCTCACATCTGTTTTTAATGAATGCTGTGTTTGAGAAAGCTTGTGAGATAAGCAGTGATTATGAGATACATTTTAGTACTGCTTTTGTACACAAATAGAATTAACCGGATTGCAGAATTCTATTAGTTTCTATTAGCTTTAATAAATGACAATTTTTTTTGCACTGCATATAATCTTAGAGTATTGAACTCCCAAAAAAAAAAAAAAAAAAAAAAAAAAAAAAAAAAAAAAAAAAAAAAAAAAAAAAAAAAAAAAAAATAATAATAATAATCAATAACAATGTTATGATCCTTTGGAAACATATGTATAAATAAATAAATTATGTTTGTAATTTGTTATACTGGTACTGTTTCAATTTCGTAGCACTAATTAACTTAAGTGAATTTAACTTAATTCATTCTGACAGTATTTGTTTTACAAATTTTAATTATGATATATGAAGAAGAATGTGTTATTCTTTGTACAATCAATAAATACATATTTGTGTGCAAAGAAAAAGAAATAGTATATCGTAATTTGTTAAATATTCCTTCTTCATGTAAAAAGCATAGAAAATTACCACAGAAATTTTCATTAATTTTAGGGAACTGAATTTTTTAAATATAATTTCATTTTTTTTCCAAAAATAACATGTATATTATGATATGATTATAAATTCATGATTTGCATAATACAGACCGACTGTTTGTTGATTCAGTAAGAAAAGAAAAAAAAATAAATTAATTAAAATGTTTTTTTTTCTTTTTTCAGGCCAGAGCTAAAGGCAATATTTTCTATAATATTTATACTATTCTGATAATCATAGTTTCGCCACAGAAGAGAACTGATCAAAACAATTTTGCAATTGTACTCAGCCGTACCACTTTTTTGTTTGCATTAAACAATACATCAATATCCACTTCCCATAGTCAGGCAGACATGGGCAAGATAAAGTTAGCAAAGCCCCCGATAACGCGTTGGTAGCAACAGGGGTGCCAATAGTAGGCATCATGTCACTTCCATTGCCAATGAATTAGTTTTATTTGCCCGGACAAGTTGTTGCTGTTGTGATTTGGTCTCACAGGGTGAATTTTCCACTCCATCCACCTCCAGATTCAAACTTTCACTATAAAACATAGTAGGAGTAATCTAGCATATATATTGAATACTTTATACACATTTAATTTGTCTTGAAAGATAATTATTATCACATATAAATAAATAAATGAATCAACATATTTCAATTTATAATCAATCTAATATAGCTGATTGAAAAGAATTTTATTTATTGAAATTCTTTTCAATAAATGAAATGAATTCTTTCAAGGCTAAAAAATGTATTATATTAAGAATTATATTAAAATAAGAAAATTGTAATAAGTTATTTAACAAGATAGATAAATGCTTACCTATTACTATTAAGCGTAATTTCCCCGGACGTTGGGATTTGTTGTGCCTGACTCTGTGTTTGTTGCTGTTGTTGTCTTGCAATACTTGCTAATTTACTTTGCGTGATAAGGCCAGGCAACAGATTGGACGGCGGATGTTTCTGTGGTAGAACTATTGTCGGCTGATTGTTCACAACATGAGTACTGTTTGGCAGATTATTTGAGTTGCTTATATGTGATAAAGGCCCATTTTGATGGCCATTACCAAAGTTTGTAATGGTACCACTAGGTGTGGTGGCTGCACTAAACACTCTAACTCCTGCACTTCCACCACTGCCACAATTACCGCCATTTCTATTATTTGTTGGACTAGTTAGAGATTTAGATAATATAGAAGCAGCGTTACTGTTATAAGGTAATTGTCTGTGTTGTCTGGACTGGTAATTCGACTGTGTTTCTATCGCAATACTCGTACATTGCGTTGATACGGTACTCAGTGTCGTCGCTTGATTGGTCACACACGAAGAGGACGACGGGATTGAAGAACTTGAAGTATTTACAACACTAGAACCACCACCACTGCACTGAGGCCGGTTCTGTTGTGTCACAGGCTGTGCAAACACATTGCTGCATAATGGTGTCACTACAAAATGTGAGCTGCCCAGCTCGTCTGTCCGCAAATCGCTGGAGCTATTGTCCGACAACCCACTAACGCACGCACTACCGTTAACACTTGCTACCGCAAGATCAAAGTCCGATAGAGCATCTACTGAGAAGTAATCTGCAATGTTAAATTCCGAAGTAAATGGTGGCTCGTCACCCACACGTTCGGGTTCCACTTCCACACATATCGACGTTGCTTCGGGTGGGAATGGATATGGAAGTGGTTTCGATGGAGACAACACTGGTTCTACATCTGAGTCTGTATCACTACTTTCCTCACTTGGACTGTGCACTGACTCAGGTGGAGTCTTTGGTCGAAAGTGTAGCCTAATTTGAACAATTGTTAATAGATATTAATTAACACATATAGTTGCAACAAACAGGATATTGTACTAGTCATTATATGAATTGGCAATTGGCAAGCTCGTACCATTCTTTCTTGACAGGTGTACTATTTGTGGCAGTTGTATTTGAGTCCGAAGCCTCACGTTTTGGTTCGTGTATCGTAAAATCTAAAGAAGACCACATGTCGTCCAAATCTGAAGTGCAGCGGTCTAGTATAACTCTGTAATGTATTATATGAATAAATATTAAAAAAAGAAACAAAATGACTATCTACTTAAATGAATCACTAAATCAGTACCTGCCACCCCGACCAAGTCTTCTTCTAGCAAGACCAATACATTTAGGTACTGGTTTACTAATGCTGGTGAGGGCGAACCTATACTTCTTATCAGCCAAACCTCCTTCATGTTTGTCACACCAAGGCCAATTTCCAAATCCACCTAATACGGGCTGCAAAGAGAAAAGCTCTATATCTACAATCCTGAAAAAATGAACATTAAAACTGTTTCCATACTTAAGAAAAGAACTTCTTGTTTTCATTACCACCCTTGCAAGAACGTTGCAAGGAAAAACTGATTTTTAAATAAATTCATAAATTAATAATTGTGAATAGCATGTAATATAATGTAAAATACATAACATGAAATTTCGAATACTTCTATAATTTTCAAGATAATATATCATACTTACAGGTAGATAAGTGCTATTTCTATTTCGTCGAAAGGCAAATTGACCTTCATCAGCAGTATCCTCATCATCTCTATCAGAAGAAAGAGAAGGTTGAGAATGAGAATGTGATGGAAGGGGACTGTCTTCATCCGAACTTAGTAGAGGGTCCAGCCCACTTCCAAGAACTCCTGTCCGATTTCCTCGACCTCCTCCACTGCCTGTTCCACCACGTATACCAGTTTCATCAAGGCTACCTCCTCTACTATCCGTTTTATGTTTTCGTTTTTTATATTGCCTCTTTTCTTTTCTAGCTACAACCTCATCCTAATGAAACAATAAGCATTCAATCATTAGTTGTAAATGAAAACTGTACACTTCGATTATCTAATTACTCACTTTATTACAAACTTTATTTGCCCAATTTTGATGGACTCCAAATTGATTGGTGAAAAGTGGAGTGAACGCTGGTCTTGGAGTTTTTAATGCAGACACTTCCGCTAAAATCTGACCATTGAAATCTTGCGCTTGATACCTATATATTTAAAAATTTATTTATTTGAACATTAGATATAAAACAAAATAATAAATATGTCAATGATATAAGAACAGACCTCTTTTCATAAACTTCTATTGTAAGATGCAAATGTTCTCGTTTCGTTTTTTCCCTACGTTTGACCATTTCGAGAAGAGTAACTGCCCTGCTAAGATCTCTACGTAACTTAAGCATTTTTTCATAACTTGTTTCATCGTTCTTACGAATCTTACGTGTTTGCATTTTTTCTGTTCTGCGTCTAAATGCTAAATAAGGATTGTTAGCAGCCGAACCAAGCCGATGTTCCGTTTTTACAGTCAATAATAAAGGATGTTGCTGCAAAGTATATAATATTTCATTAATTTTTTTTTTCTTAGTAATATTATTATTTCTATTAATATATCTCAAGCTGCAAAATACAGTTATTTTCGCTTTCATAAAAGTATTGTAAAAGCTTACTGTCTTAAGTCGTTTGTTTAACCAATAATCAAAAACTGCAATAATAAGATCATCATCCTCTTTTAAGAGTGCTTTAGCTTCATTAAGGGTAACTACAGTTTGGCCTGAACTCTTTTCTAAACGATCCATCATCTCTTCAAATTGAAGTGGAGTTAGATCCATTTTGCGACTTTGAACAGCAACCCATTTTTCATCTTCTGAATCCATATCATAGTCTGGTATGTCTTGCTCCATTGCAAAGGCTGTGAATAAAAATGATAAGTTTGATTGTATCTTACTTTATAAATATTATAATAAATTGTAAAAAATAAAATATGATTTATGTATACAAGCTTATAAATACACACATATATGCATGCATATAAATTCATGCATACTTACGCTGCATATGTATAAGTTGACGAGGCAACTTGTAATCAGCAGGATATATTTTGTCATAAGCTTCAACATCTGCCAAGTCAGTTACTTCAGGGGTAGGAATGATTAAACCCGTGCATATTGCCCTTTGAAGATGATGTTCCTTCAAATAAAAAATGTAAATATGTATGCACAAATATAATATAATATATAGATATTACATTTAAAACATATTATTTGTATACAAAAATTTTAATGTTATTTCCTATATGTTACAATAATTTGTTAAGAATAATACATTGTTTACAAATAATATGTATTTGTTTACATATTATTTACATTATTTATGAGAAGTAGAAAAGTTTCTATAATACAGAAAAAATTATGATATATCCAAATATTAACTCTTCTCAAAAAAAAATTAAATAAAAACGTTTGATTTAAATGAATTTATCACCTTATGTACTATTATTATGAATGTATAAAGGTATATGAATATGTATACATACTGTTATGTATTTCATGTATATTACTTGAAAATATTATTGCAATTAAAAACTGTATTGTTCAATAATATAAATGTAATCAACTAAAATTAAAGCGACTTAAAGTTTATATATGACAGATACATTCCACATCAGAACTTGAATATTTTTTCCATATAATTTATCTAACTATACTTTTATAAATTATGCTAAACAATCATACTAAATATTAATATTAGTTAACATCAAAAATATATAACAGAACTTTATTCGTTACAAATACCAATCTTCATAAATAACTTCTTAATTTGATATCTTTTATATAAAATAGTCTATTGCATAAAAACTGATTCATTTATATTATAAAACTCTAGGATAGAATTTATCTTTATTGCTTTTGAAATCTTATTAAATTATTATATAAATAAAATGTAATGTTCAAGTTACAGAAATGATAATAGAAGGAATGAGTATTTTGCTGATTAAATAAAACAGATCTAAGTACAAATTGTTTCTACATTTTAATGATATGTAAGATAATAAACTAATAAGGAAAAGGTAAAAAATTTCTAAATGAATTATTTGAAAATAATAAATTAAAGAAGTATTTAAATTATAGTGAAAACAAGTATTCATATTAGTATCATCTGTATTGGTAATGTTATTTCATAGAAAATATTGTGTGACAACTGTCAAATCATAGAAAGGTAGAAATGTAGATGTTCTTAGCATATAAAAAGCTTTAGAAAATAAATAAACAATAACGAATAAAAGGTAAAAAGTTGAAATTTCTAATGAAAGAAGAGAAGAACGATCTCAAATGCCATCTGGCGGTTGTTTATGAAAACAACATCGAATGTAAGATGGCCGTCGTGGAAAACATACTGGAACGAGGGCTGGACGGTCAACTTACGCATTCCTCCTCCTTTTCCATGCCGCTGGGCATTTGGGGCACTGCGCGATTAATGGCCGAATAATCTGGCAAATCTGGCAATTCTTCAGCCATATAGATCGGCATTGGCTTAGAGACGTCCAGGGCGCGAGCCCTGAACGACAGCTTGCTCATCTTGAGGCGAGTGACTCTCGCGTGTTGACAACCAAATTGGCTGCTCGAACCGTGAGGCCAGTCGGGTCGGTTCGGGCCTCGGGCTTACGGAACGTGAATTTAATTGGGCCTGTTTAGGGGCCCAGAGGCCGTATTACCCGGCACAGAGAGCGCTCAGGGCCTCATCGTTCTCCGGCCATCGCGCTGGAACACGGTCACTCAGTCACCAAACGAAATATATCACTTTGAAAACATGTTTGCGTGACACGGTCCCTGCTCAAAGCCATCATGGCCGACGCACAGCCATTTAACACGTTCAGCCCAAACAGTTCCACGATTCGACGTGAGTCGCGCGGGAATCGGCCCGTCGAAATCTACGCGTCTATTGGAGGTGCGCTCAGTCTTAAGCCGGATTCGCATTCACAACAATCGCAAATGGATCGTAGCTCTGGCTGCGCGCGATCGTAACTTTACATCCGCATCATGGCCGCCTGCGCTCAACTTTGAATATAAAAGAAAAAGATACATACGTATAATACATATTTTATGTAGTACGTCGTTCAATGCTTTATTTTTTTTCTTTTTTACTTTCACTGTATCCGTATCACAGTAGCTTCTTACTTAACAAAAAATTCGACAGCTTCCTTCTTCGTACGATTCACCTTTTCACTCTGTAACGATAATATTCTTATGTTAAGTTTTTTCTTTTTTTTTCTTTTTTGTTTCATCAGAAATGTAAACCAAGATAATCTAAGTATCAATTCCTGTTATCACTTTGTTAATCTTTGAAATAATTAACGAAATATAATAAAATTTATTTTCTTTGTGTTATCATTATTCCGTAATTACAAACGTTATGAGAAAAACGAGACATCCTACTTTTTCCATAAATTTTCAATCACTTTAAAAATTTTATTTTTAATCTAAATAATTTTGAAGGTTATACTTATGAAAGATGTTTGCTGGCCAATTGTACAAAGATATCACAAATAAAAGCAATGTATTTTGTAAGATTCTATGAATAAATTCAAATTCGTTGTTCTTAGGTGGTGCGCATGTCTCAAGGAGTACGTGGATGTTTTGAACGTTTATGTATATTTTCTGATAAATTGTAAAAAAAAATGAAAAAGTTTGTAATTCCATTACAATTGCTATTGTATACTTTTATGTCAACGGAAATATAGTTCATGAAAGTTTTCGATCATTCATTAAATATCGCGTTTGACTTGCGTAGTTTTTTCAGGAAGGTGGAACACGCATTCGTGCATATGACATGGCGCAGGTTATCGCAGTTTTATCCACAATTCCAAAGTTATCACATCATCTTCGTGCACACCTTCCAAATTTAATTATCTACGATGTTTTGTCAGGTATTTAAACTATATCATGATCGTTATAACAACGTACCTTTGCACCTTGTTACGTTGTACGTGCGACGACAGCTCTTCCGAGCACGTGTCAAAATCTACGAAACACAGTAATCCACCAATCCACCACAATATGAAATTGCACATTCCCCCACTCTAAATTTACGCATGGCGGGAATCCATTTGCATTAAATTCAAATATTAACATTTCAAATTCTCCAATAACTTTATTTATATTGATCCATTTTTTCTTTTCTTTTCTTTTTCTTTATATTTTATATCCGTATGTCTTATATACGTTAATAAAACTGTTCATGTCGTTATATTTTGAGAAAAATCAATTGTATTTATTTAGAAAAAGACAATGCGTTATCGAAACTCAACAAGGCAGAAATAATGGTGGCTGATTGTGATTTATTAATACCATATTTGGGAAAATTACCAAAACTGCAGTGGGTACAATCAACGTGGGCAGGATTGGATAATTTAAATCCATTTATTCAAGATAAACAATTTAATTTTATTCTTTCACGTTTTTCTGATAAAAGTTTTGGTTTGGCAATGTCGGAATATGTAATAACACAAATTGTTAACTTTGAGCGAGATCAGAAACAGCAGTATGAAAATCAAAAAAATTCAGACTGGAAAACAGATGGTAAAATAAAAAATCATAGATTAATTCGTGACTTAAATATAGGCATTTTAGGATTGGGAAATATTGGAAAATTCAGTAAGAAAATATATTATTGTTTTTCTCATTTTCTACTTGATATTGAAACAATAAAGAGGATTTTGAACTAGATAGTAATTTATACTTTCTACAGTTGCACAACACTTAAAAATGTTTGGTGCTACAATTTGGGGAATGACACGCACTCCTTTAAAAGAACACTTGGACTACATAGATGAACATAGAACGACAGATCTATTATCAGATATATTAACAAACTGTGATTATATTATTAATGTATTACCTTCTACTAAAAATACTATTGGACTTTTAAATGGCACAATTCTAAAACATTGTAAAGATCATAATGTTGTATTTATTAATATTGGACGTGGAACAATTATTAAAGAATCAGATCTTTTAAATGCTTTGGAGCACAAATGGATAAGTGCTGCAATTTTAGATGTTTTTCAAGAAGAACCATTACCAAAAAACAGTAAATTATGGAATTTATCAAATGTTAGAATAATTTACATAAATAAACATGCTTTATTCTATGAGACATCGATGCTTTCATAAATATTATTATTTGGTTTATATAGGTAATTATTTCACCACATATCTCTGGGGTGACGCGTCCACAAGATGTTGCTAATCAATTTGCAGAAAACTATATAAAATATAAAAATGGTGAATCTATACCAAACAGTTTTAATTATCAAACAGGTTATTAATTATTTTCCATTAATTGTCGTGCGCATTTGTAATAAGAAAGACTCATATTATGGATTTGTAATCTACAAATATATTATATATACTCAAGAAAATAAATCAAATATTATACACTTGACAATTTTATATATTTAAATTTGTTATATTAAATAAATAGATAAATATATATATATATATATATATATATATATATATATATATACAATTTTTTAATTATTTATAAATTTATTATAAAACTTATGTATATAAAACACTATTAGATAAAAAAAATATTCATCATTATCAGATTAAATAAACATGATAATGACTAAAAATTGCTTATATCATTGATCATGTTTGATAATCTTTCTTGCAATACATTTTAAATAATCAACTATAATTTTTATATTCATTATAAAAACAACAAAATAATTATGTAAAATATATACTTACTTTTATATAAAATTTTTTAAAAAAATTAAATCAAAAATTGTGATATACTAATATATAAATATATTACAGCAAATAATATATCTATCCTATATTAAAATAATTTATAAATTATCTCTGTGTAGGCCCTGTATTTGTTTAATAGTTTTCTGTATATTAAATGTGGTTATAAAGCTACAAATGCATTAAAAATGAATACAATAAAAATAAATAAGAAATAAATTTTTCTTTCTTACATAACTTATTTTAAAACGCAGTCATTTTTTACGAAGTTTAACTTAAACACCTTAGAATATAAAAAAAATGTGCCAGTTGCGGTATATTAACAATCGTTGACTGAATATACTACTGTACATGACAATTTACTGTATCATTATATACCTCACTATTTATATAAAAATTACAGCTACATTATTATAGCTATTTTTTTTTCTTTTTTTTTTCATATATATGTCAAAACAACTTACTGTAAAATAGTCCAGATTAAGCATACCACTTACTCAGTTTCTTGAGGACTTGGTGATGTGGTAGGTTTTAAACCACGAATACTAAGATCATAAACTACTTCTTCAATTTTCTTCACATCGTACTTCAAAGCATCAAAACGTTTTCTTAGAGCGTCATTTTTTAAATTTAAAAGCCTAAAACCTGCATTTAGTTCATTTACAAATTTGGCTATTTCTATGGGCCGGTTGTAATCACCATTCGTAACACTATTTACAGCAAAGCGGCTCTACAAAAATAGAATTAAAAGATTAAAATTCATTATCTATAAACTAAGAAATAGATATATAATTATAAAGATACCAATTCTGCAGATAATTGAAGTAAACCCATCAGAAAGTCTTCTAAATCTAAATGAAAACCTTCTTCTCGATTATTTTTAACTGAAAGTATAAAAAAATTAAAACTCTGTAATGAAATATGAATTTTAAAGTGTAATTGAAATTTATAACACATACTTCCTAATATTTCAGCAACAGTTTCTTTAGTCACCAAAATCTTAACTTCTAAATATACTGTTAATGAAGCCAGGAAGCATAATCGTTGAGTGACAAAACGCCACTGGTCATTAAATCTATAATATTGATCCTTTGGAACAACTTCAGCAAGTTTTGCATATTGATTACGTACATCTTCAAATAATTCCCTAGCTTTTGCACAATACTGTGAGACAACTGAAATAAAAAAAAACAATAGTTTAATTTTAAATTATTATTAATGTTTAATATTCAATTATTAACAATTATAATTGACTAGGTCAATCGAGTTATATCAGGTTTGCACATGTAATGTATTTGTCGTTCAACATAAAGTATTTTATACAAAAAACATACTTATATTTTCTTCCATAGTATTTTCATTATGAATATTTTGTAGTATCATCAGAATATCCCTGGCACTCTTCTCAATTTCCTTCACAATAACACGGATTTCCTTGCGTAAAAGAATTATTAATCTAATTATTATGAATCTGTATTATCGATTTAATTAATTAATTTGACTCATGATTTTCGTTTCCATTAGCAAATTTACAATTTCATACGTGAATAAATATTCACCTCAATGTAATAATATTGAAGAGGTCAACGATACTTTATGTATTTCAATATGAAATAATTTATACTGTATACTATTCATAAAAAGCCAATTATTTAAAAAAAAAGGATATAATTTATAAAAGTTATTCTAAAAACTTGGGATGAACACCTCTTGATGTTCATAAATATTTATATCCCACGAAAACGTTTATAAATTAAGGACAAAAAACTATACTTTTACATATAACCTAAAAAATTGGGATAAAAATATAATTAATACAAACCTCGCGTAATTCTTGTTCATTATTTAGATAATCTTGAAACGCATTAAAAATTTGTGACACCCCGTCCGCCATTTTTTTGTTAATACGTTTTAAATAAAAATATGTGAAATAATCAAGATACGAAATATCAATAGCAGGCTAAATCTTTAACAGAAAAATCTATTTTATTACGCATCGTATCGATCGTTAGTAAAGAATGATTCTCAGAGATGGCGTAACTATACACTTATTAAATTCTCATTTTCTCAACTTATCATTTTTAATCATTTATATTTTTTATCACATTTAATACATAAATAAATAAAAGAAGAGCAATATATAAAAATTTTATAAATGAAAATTTATATTAAATATTTGTTAATACACATAGAAAGGTATCGTAAGTTTAAAAAAGGCACGTAAAAAATGATAGTATTTTCCTTATTTATAGAAAATAACTTTACATATAATATTTTTATATATGAACAATATTGTTTATTCAAAAATAAGAAAAAGAAAAGGTAAATTATTCGTTGTCTTTATTATTTCATTAAAAATGAATAATAATTTTTCAAATTTTAATACGAATGGTACACAATCGTAATAGAGAAAAAAAATTGATAAGACGAGAGTGATGTTATTATCTTAACGATCCTAAATAAAAAATGAAAAGTAAAGATTTTTCACAAGAGATAGAAAAGGCGCGAACGTTGCTATTCGCGCGTTTGGATGCATCTACAATCTTGCAAACGTTGCTGACCTTCCTACTCTTGACTCTGCGAAACGTGTGTGCCTGTAAGAGACAGAGAAAGACAGAGAAAGATAGACAAAGAAAGAGAGAGAGAGAGAGAGAGAAAGAAAGAAAAAAAGAGAAAGAGAGCATGAAAGAGAGGAATAAAGAGGGGAATAAACATGGGAATAAAGAGGGGAAGGAAGAAGGAGAGAAGGTTTGTAAGCACGAACGCCGTTGCAAGGTCTTGCACGGTATATAAATAGAAACCAGTAGGTCCTGCTGCGAACTCGAGGAAGGTGGTTGGAATTCTACATGATGCCTCCTCTACGTAGGTCGTAGAGGATACCACGAGGATATCTGCGGGCGTGTCATTGATCCCAATACGCGTTCAAGCATCCGTGAAACTTGCTTTATGAAAAAAATTCACGCCCACGTTCGCCACGTTTGCAAGAGACGCGTCGATCGCTCCTAGCAAGAGCGATCTCAAGTACGTCTTGCAAATGGAAAGCCGGAAGTAAAGGACAATTACGCATTTATTTCGCGTCATTTCATTTTTATATATAAAATTAATTGTTAAATTATATTAGCTATCATTTTATAGATAACTATCACGATTATTTAATTCTGGCTGATGATGTATTTTAATTCGTCCATTTTAAAAGTTTAATTTTTCGATCGAAATAATTTGTTCATTTTAATTTTGATTTGAATTATATCACTATAAGTTATATATCTTGCACGAATGAATTCAATTTTTCATTAAAAAAGACTGTAGGTCTAATTATATATAAAGGATCCGTTAAATGTGCATGTCTCGGGTGACAAGTAATCTTAATAAAATTCTGGTATCGCAAGATTCATCGTAAACTTTTGGTACCGTGCAATGGCGCGTACCTACTTGGTTGAGAGCGGACACTTGAAAGTATTTTTAGCCAGGGCGATCTTATCTTGGTAAGAAAATTACGAAGGCCTCAGGGCAGGACACACTTGTAAGAGCGTATTCTAAAGAAGACCTCGTTTGCTTGAAACACGTTCAACGGTACGGTGGTACCTACTCTTCGCGCGTCTGCCATTATAAATGGCCACTTCTTCGACCTATCGATTGGACCACTTCTCTCTTTTTGAATTGGAAATGCATTGAAATTGTGTAGGTAAATATAAATATAGAAAAAGAAGAAAAAATCTTTTTTACAGTCATTTGCAATTACAAAAATTTTCAAGGTATAATTACTGAACTATTAGCGGTTCAATATTTGTACGTTAAACCGGTAAGTATGCAAGTTTTGTACGAAGAGTACGAGTAAATATCGTAACATGACATCGAATGTGCACACAAGTGTTTTAACGTAAGGATAAAATTTGAGATGCTTCTCAACTGATCTTTAACACCTTTTCAATATGATAAACTCCGTTACATAAAGATTTTCTTAATAAATAACGAAGTAAAACTAGGATATCTTAAACATTAATAATTAATAATAAATCTTTTGGACTCGATTCGTTTTTATTTTCGAGTGGTATTGGTCGAATTTTGTGTCAACAGTTATCGAGCAAAATGTCCTTTCATCAAGGAGGAGGTCAAAGATACTTTCTTTTTTTCTCGATATAAATAAATTTACTCGCTTTATTGAATATAATGAATACTTTTGCGTCCATGATTAAAAGTCTTATTTGAAATCTTTAGAAGAAATGAACGCGTTACATGTATTTTACGTCTATTTACATAGACGTATCTATCGACGACAAAATTTCAGATTTACAGTCTCTTAAATGCATAATCATTTTCATGAGAAAGAGAATTCATTTGCTTTCGTAGAAGATAAATAAAGGTAGGTTTAAAATAAAGGAAGCAAGTGGGCCTTTGGAAATTAACGAGCAAGCGTACATGCTATAAGCAAGCATACTCATTAACGTGGGGCATGTAATCATTAATTCCTCATACGACAATGACTTACGAACATACAAGAATATGTACCACGAAATATCGGTAGATGTTACTGAGTTATATACCTGTATAACCATAATTAAATGAACGATGATCGTTCGTACATTATTCTTGAAAATGATGCGATCTTACATAGCGGTTTCATATTCTCGACTACGCTCAACTCAGTATCCGTCAAAGGTCATCATTTTTTCTCGAGAACACCTTTCCAACCCGAACTTGTATATTTTGAAATTCACAAAATAATTGAAAACGAAAAAAAAGGAGAAAAAAAAAGAAAAAAAATGAACTTATCGACACTCGTACACGGAAAGATATTAAAGGACACAGTTTCTTTGAGCATGCTGTGTGACGGAGAACGAAACGAGCTGGTCGAAGAGCAACAGGTTTGACTCGCTGGACTAGTTAATAAATTATCGTAGGTTGCCGCCATCTCCATCTCCATCTCCATGAAAGAGTCGCGAATGAGAATTCGGAATACTAACCGAGTCGACCACGAGTATCTCAACTCGTTGAAGAAAGATACGTACACCGAAAAGGAACCTTATTATTAAATCGATGTATGCATATAAAATTACTTAACACAAAGATTATGAGATCTACACTATTTCAAGTAATTATAGTATCTAATTAGTAACAATAAAAGAAACAATGATAAAATTTCATGTGAGAGATAATCATTAAATGATATCTCGATTTTTATCATAATACTCATCTATTCTATTATCATGAGACATTACTGTAATAAGAAATTACAAATTATCCGTTAGAAAAATCTCTGAGGATATATATATATATATATATATATATATATATAGGGTGAGGTAATAACTTTGATTACCTTGAATATCTTCGTTCTTTTTAAAGATATGGTAAAATTTTGTTTACAAAAATCAAAGATGGACTATAATGTAGTAGAAATAATAATTTTTTATATCATACGGATATATGAAAGTCGACCGTTTTTTCTTTTTCTCTTTTTTTTTATGGAATCATATGTTTTTCAATTCTATTGGTCGATCTAGCTCGACATTCTCTATAAAAAAAAGTATTAATGCATATATATATATATATATACATATAAAAAAGAAATTCAAAGAATTATTAGTGTATTAATATTATGTTAATTTAATATTAGGAGATATTTTAATGTAAATATTACTAAAAAACTATGTGCAGATGTGACTAAAATGTAGTAAAAGTAATAATAAGTAAATAATAGTGGTAAGAGAGTGATGGTTTCTTAACTTACTTAACTACAATTATTCTACACTTACTTTGCGCTTACTCTGCGCTTATCTTATACCATTATTATGCATAAGCGTAAGAATAATGATGTATGGTAAGCTAAGAAACCATCATTCTTTTACTACTACTATTTACTTACTACTACTACTCTTATTATATTTTAATCACATTTACATATATTGCTTCTTAGCAATATTTACATTAAAATATCTCTTAAACTAATAATTTTTTGATATATATGAGTTAATAAACTTTTATAGAGAATGTATATTATATTCGAGCCGCATCGATCAATGCTATCAAGAACTTATTATTCCATTAAAAAACATTCAGTTGGCCTTCATATGTCCTTTACTTGTCCATCTATAAAAATATTATTTCTATTATATTATAGCTCTCTCAGTACCATACAATTTTTCTAAATAAAATTTCTTCATATCTATCAAAAAACGGAGATAATCTAAATGATCAAAGTTATCGCCTCACCCTGTATATACACGTATAATATATATGGTGCGATTTCTCAGTGAGAACGAAAAAGGTGACAAATGGAATTCAAGCCGGCGCCCAAAATGCACGCCTGACAACATATCCTGGACCGCGAGGATTGTTTCTCTCCCCTTCCTCCCAGCAGTTCTCGAGGTAGATTGACGAGCACTATTCTGTCGTCCTAATTCCCGTAAAAATGTACGGGTAGGACCTGTAACAGAGATAGTTACCTAGTGTCGGCCTACTTATATATCCGTGAATGGCGCAAGCACGTGCATTAACTACATACAAACGCGAGTCGAGCGAGGTAAGCGGCCCGGTCGACAACGGCGACGTTCCGTTGTAGCTCGTACGACCTTCATAAAAACTCGTCGATCGAAGATCGCCGAGAATGCCGAGTGATAACTCATCGTCGTCTACGGGGTGGCAAATAAAAAAGTGGATGTCTATTCTCGCCAAAGCGATTACTACTATGCCAACGATAAATGAAACCGAAACGAGCAATAAATAAAAAAAGAAAGATTGCAACGGGAAGAGAAGAAGAAGAGGGATCTGTATATATATAAAAAAAAAGAGAAAATTTTTTATTCTATAGGTGTATATATATATATATATATATATATATAATTATTTAGAAAAAAATTAAAGGAAGGAAGGATATATTGCAATTACCTAAAAATGATAGATATATATATATGTATGTATGTATATATGTATGTACATATGTATGTATGTATTTAGTTATTATTTAGAAAAGAATTGAAGGAAGGAGGATATATCATAATTACTTGAAAATGATACAGAACAAAATAGTGATCAGTAATAGTAATAATAATAATAATAATAATAATAATAATAATAATAATGCAATACATAGAAAAAAATGCAATAAGAAAGATCGTAAATTTTTTTGTAAAAACCTTGACTCGGTTGCAAATGATTGTACTGCGTCTCGAGATAGTCTTCATCCGACCGTTCGACGTGAAACTAGATTTGGCAAAAAGGTTGCAAGCTATGGTGGCCTTCTTCTTTGTGACGAATCGCGGGAGGTGATGGTTAATTTGTGAAAGAAAAAGAGTGGAAGAAAAAGAGAGAGAGAGAGAGAGAGAGAGAGAGAGAGAGAGAGAGAGAAAGAGAGAGAGAGAAGCACAGAGCGACTTGTAGGTTGAGCTTCTCCTTCTTTCCATCTTCCTCCCCCACCAGACGTTCCCATGGAAAGACGTTGGCCGGTCTCACGTGGTTTAACGCGCGCACATAGTAGAGATACGTATATATCGTGTGGGTTGCGCTCGCGAGCATACCTTGGCCTCCCGCGGTTCGATGGTTAGTGGTTAGTGCGCGCACAGGTTGCCGCGAGATCTGCGCGCAGAAGTTGCGCGTATTCTCCGTGACAACACGCGCGAGGACCAATCCGGTCTCGTTGGATCGTATCGATCGCGGATCCGTGATTTTGTCTTTTACATCGGCACTATTTTATCTTCGCACGCGACACGTCTACTTATTTTTGCAAACGAAGAAAAAAATAATAAAAGAAAAAGGGAAATAACAGAAAGAAAGAGAGAACAAATATTGTGAGAAAAGAAAATACCTATGTACGATCGCGAGTACAAACGATGCGAGTAGAATGAAATTCATACTCTTTCGAATACGTGATACCGTAAGTTTGTTTGTTTCGTTTGGAAAAATATAACAGCCTTGGTTTTTCTTCTTTTTTCTTTGTTTTGTTTTTGTTGTATTCGTAAATTATTGAGGATTGTTCTCAAAAAACAATCGTCTCAAATAATTTCCAAGAAAGGATTAACAATTGGTGTGCTGATATAAATCCTTCCTTTTTGCGTCATAAGATTATCGCTATGTTTCTTTATTTATCTATCTATGAAACGAACTAATACTCCGTGAGATCCAGCTTCGCGAGTGTTTTTATCCGCTATGACGTCGTAAAATAAACGAGTTTCTTCCTTCTTCGTTTTCCTTTTGCTTTTTTCTCTCTCTTTGTATTTTTTTTTTCTCATTCCGCTCTCGATAGCAAAAGAATGTTATTACGTTTGAAAGATAATTAAAAAAGCAAGAGATATAATTTGTAGAATATCAGAAGTAAACAATATTGGTTATTTCTTTTTTATGCATATATTTTACATACTTGTATATTATACTTATTTACATAGTATGACATGTGTGTTGATACGCAACGCTAGGCAATCTTATATGCGGCCGTTGAAGTCTCCTTCGAGAAGAAGTAACGCATGACCGTGCATCGAAATCTCTTGATCGAAACATCGTCGTTCAACGAATTCTCCTTTTCTTCGTCTAAAAAACTGTATATCGTCGTATTTCTCGAATTGTTTAGTGATAAAATATGATTTTTTCTTTTTCGTGCTAGAAATGATATTCGTCCATGATTCTTTTAAAAATATCATTTATCGATAATCTTCATTAATAAGATAAAATATACATTCTTAAAGTTTTTCGCCGATCAATCTTACCGTGCCTATTACTTATATATTGTTTTCTCTCATTTGCTTTTTTTTTGTCTACTTCATTTCTATCAAAACTTTCTAAAGAGGTATCCTGCAATCAGTGACGTAATAAAAAAAAAAGAATCAAAAGAATCAAGTGCAAGAAACGGATTAATAATAGCTAAGGTAGTTTATAATATGAGTGAAAGCAAGAAGAAGTTAAAGAAAGAAGAGAAAAAGTATTCCTAGAGGAAAGAGACCTCCATATTACGACTAGTACTACCACCAGTGCCACGAGAGAGGCGGGCGCATACCTGGTGATTTGAATACCAAATCAACCTCTCTTGTGCAATTCCTTTAGCTTTTTTTATTCCTTGTCCGTACGACCTTTTAACATTTACCTGCGTGCTTTGCGTATTTTTAGGCATGACACAATTTCCTTGCGATCCAAACCGACTAACCTCTGCTATAAAAAACAATTTTTAAATCTAATCAACAAAAACCGAATCACATGATTAATATTATCATTGCAAATATATTTACACTTTCATTAATTATTTCATCAATTTTGCATATTATTTTATCCTAAACGTTTCTTAAAACTTCAGTAAATGCATTTCGCTAGTTTGTTAAACAAAGCTAACCGAAGATTACGTATTCGAAAGATAATAAAAAAAAAAAAAAAAAAAAAGGTAAAAAAAAATCGTTTCATAAAGTGCTACAAAGTGCTTCCTTTTTATGCTCTTCATATATATAGAAGAGAGATTCAACGAATATCTGTACATAAATCTAACGAATATATACCTAAAGCTAATTTGCAAAATATACTAAAGGAGTGAAAAAAAGCACCGAGTAATTTGATTTAGCCTCTCCTAGGCTTTGTCTGTATGCGAAGAACAGAGACATAGCCTAGAATAGGTTAGGTCAGGGCTCGTTCGACACGGTCATCTTCGCTTCGTATGTTGAAGACACGCCCAAGGTCAAGGACAAGCTCAAGGTCAATGCACAATCGTCGACAACTAAACATTAAATAAGGTGTTGTGGTATATACGCGCAGGCGTACATTTTTTTCTTTTTTTTATCTCACGAATATTTGCTATAACCAAACATTAATTTTATAATTTTACAACAATGAATCATATAATCTTCTCTGATCGATTTAAATATCTATTATGATCATAAGTTTCTCTAGCTTGCATAAATTAAAATGAATTCAACTGATGAATTTTAACTTACGGAAGTAATAAAATCATGACAAGAATTTTATACAATCGCCATATATGCGATTCTCGTTTGTATAAAAGCATTAAGACAGTGTTTGATGTAAGTAGCGCTATCTGTAAACATTTGCATCGTAAAAGTGTTCCATATAGAAATTTATATTACCGACGATGATATAAAAAATTTCCTAGGTTATCAACTTGGTATTCTCTTTACATGAGAATAATTAACATTTATTAATACTTATTTTGTAATTAAAAAAGACTGGAAAATCAAAATAAGCATACAACTTGATAAGATGTAATTAAATTTTATCAATGATAAAGACGGTAAATATTACAAATAATTAACTATATAAAAGTATTTTATATATGCATTTTTCTTTTCTTTGTTATCTTTTTTGATAAAATAAATGTTTAAAGATAATTAATGTCACGCCATTTGTAAACCCCATATATACACAATGGTGATAAACATTAACAATATTATAAACCAATTAGTTGCCATATTTATAAGGATAATATTTTCCATAATGGCGTCGGCCATTTAAAATATCATTACTCTTTTAAAAGCGATCAATCTATTGTAATTAAATTGCTTTATTTCATATATATATATATATATATATAAATATATATATATATATATATATATATATATATATATATATATATATATATATATATATATATATACATAGAATCAATGCAGAAATAGCAATTGTGCGATTGTTTAAGAAAAACAAATAGCAAGACGATCAGTTTCATTTCTTTTTAACTCCATTACATTCAATGTTTTTATAATAATTTACGCTGATTTCTGCAAAAAGATTAATCTTATTGACTACATTTTTTTTTTCAATTGAGAGAAATTACTTGGTTGTAGAAATATAAGCTGACTATTTACGTTTATATAGGTATGTAAATTCTACATTTTCCGCAAGAATATAATTATTTGAAAATTTAATCGGCGATAGTTTAATTGTTAAAAGAAATACATGAGTATAATTTGAGAGCTCGTTATAAATATGACCAAAAGATTACAATATCGAAATTTACATTTTCGTAGAAGCAACGTGTATAAAATGTTAATTAACAACGCATATTATCATTTTCATTAAAACCATATAAAATTAATTAATAATGTATTTTTAACATAATAGATAATTAATAATTATTAAACAAATAAATTCTTAATTTGATTAAATACTGATTGGATGATCCGCCGAATATACTTGCATCTGCTATTACAATGCATCTTTAATTGATCGAATTTAAAAATTTGATTGCGTTGTTATTTACAAAATTTTTCGTTAACATTGGAAAATTTTTTTATCAATAATCTACTAATCTCGTTGCAATAGAACAAATGTTATGAATTCTATCATTCGATTAATGTATTGCAATTAAATATGATAAACCTTATGCAATAAATGAATATCTTAAAATGCTCCTAAATATTATTCAACAGATAATGCAAGCAAGATCAAATTTTTAAAACCAGCATTTTTGGTCTACTTACACTGCTATTATTATTTAGATATGTACGCAAAGTCTTAATTTATATTTATTAACTATTATAAACTTGAAAGTACAGTCTCTTCGCAACGCACAGTGATTATCAACTGATCCTGATTTTTCAGTCTATTTTAAATAGGTATATGACAATTATCGACGTAAATGCATTTATATGGGTTATTATGATTAGAATAACAGAGTATGAATATTTTCAACATAAACCTATTATTGCACATAGCAACGTAAATAATATGTTATTTGCTATGATTTGTACAATTTATGGCTCTTCTTCTTATTTAATTGCTGTTAATATTAACAAATTATTTACTCTTTTTAACAAATTAAAATATTTAATAAATATTAATTGATACAACATATCGACCGGTTGATAATCAACTGTATAAAAAAAGAATATATATGTATTACTAACTAATCCATCTTACTAAAAAAATATCTAAAATGTAAATTTAAGAAATATCATACCAGTAAATTTGAAGATTGTTATAAATTCCAAAATTTATCCCATGCAATTACTGATATGTATTTCTATGTATTCTGATTTGCAGCCTAATTGAAAATCTATTCATCTATAGTGCTAGCACATAAGTATGATATGTTAATAAAAGTATATTATTCTATAGGCAATGATAAATTTCAATGATATAGCATCGATTTAATTGTGTGAAACTGCACGTGCCAATTAAAAGAAATTCTATATTTTATTTTTATATTCTATACTTGTGCTAATCTTAAATGTTTTAATAATATTCATATACACAGCACAAGCTTCACGACCAGGTTCAGAATGGTAATATATGTAAATAGAAATGAATTTCATGACTAAAAGAATATGATTTTGAAAATAATATTCCAAGAGTAAAATGGAATGTTTAAATATTTATCCTATTAAATATTTATTTCCATATCATGACAATACCATTTGAAAAACCAGGTCCAGTATAATAATCTCGCATAAATTACAAGACAACAATTTGATATGAAAAAATTCACTAACCATGATGGGACGTAAATGTCTAGTTTTCTTTGTCTCAATAAATTTCTCCAAGTACTCGATGAAATATTTTAAGTCCTCACACCTAATAGAGTATTATTATTTTGTTCTTGACAGGCTGATATTCTTACAGCCTAGAAATAATGTGTACTGTTTCCAAGGAACCTTATTTTTTTTCGTATGTCTTTGTTATATTTCATACCAATTGATTATAAAGATTGCAAAATACAAATAACTATAAAAGTAATTATCATGACTCTATTATAGAGTATTTGTTAATATATAATTTATATATATTCCGAAAAAAAAAAAAACATTCTATTACATGTGCATCTATATTGGACAATTAGAGACATTTCATTATTTAACACATCATTGCTTTTAATAAAGATTAAATTGACTAGAGGCAATAATCTCTTGAATTTATACTAACAATGCTGATGACTGAAATCTTTAACTAAAAATTTAAGATTTATGCGGCAGCGTTTATATTATATTGATAATGCCTCTTGATTACTTTTTACTAATCTTTTGCTTACATAGCTACTATGAACTAGTAATCGGTATGAAGCGGAAGTACTGGATATACACTTTATGTTTTTCATGGAGAACTTTGCTGTATGTAGATTTCTGTTCAATAATAATCTTCCATCATACAACTCTTTTGGCATACTAGAAATAAGTTTTCCAAAAAAAAAAAAAAAAAAAAAAAAAAAAACATATCTATCCATGTTTCATATGACAAATATGAAAAAAATCTCATGCGAATGTTAGAATTTGTCTTTTCATTTATATGCTTCGCTGCAGAATAAAACACTGCAGAATTTCCAATATTGTACAATTTTGTTTGTTTGACTAGTGAAATTAAACATTCCTCATGAATCTTATTTGCATTCAAATATATTTCGTAATATATCTTAATATTCAGTATTTAGTGATTCATTATTTCTCTTTTTTTCTCTTCTAGCTCGGTGAAGTGTTATGTTTTAATGCTCAATTAATTGTATTCATTAGAATTGACACACTTCGCAAAGAATCCCTTAATAGAACACTTCTGTCAATATATGTCTGTAAATAGCATAATTTTATACATCATTGAGCTATTGAAACTTTACCTTAGTATTCTCTTAAGGACTGTTATTAACTTCCAACTCTTTATGATAATTTCCTTACGTCACTTGGATTTATAACTTTTCTGTATTTAAACTTCTCTCTTCTTTACACTTTCCAACATAGAAAGTTTCATTGATCTCTTCAATGCACATACATACGGTACACACACACTTTACTCCACAGAAAGTCTTTTCACTACCGTTCAAAAATTTCCATTAATTCTCTGTGCGCTTTAGTTCTTCAAACATTTGCATATACAACATATACACACACTTCGTTATAGCTTTAAGATATGTCACTTTGTACGGAATCTGGATTACAAAGAAAGAAATATCTATTTCTTGCCATATAATGGACTTTGTAAAAACCAATTTTTTACAAAGTGCTTTTCAATGTTCCACACTATGCTCAAATTATTTTCTCCATGTTTTCATTATTATATCTTTAAATTTCAATAAAATAATTATTATATTATCATAGTACATGTTAAAAATTGTTTTTACATTAATACCAAATGTTGATACTAATAATCACAAGTACCAATGCGTTGCACTTATAACTCCTGTTTATATATTCTACTTCTATTTACCATTCTATCTTTCATGTTGTATTTAACTGTGTGGTATTTATAAAAATACCGAATGAGTGTGAGGCAAATCCAAAGTTGTAATACTAGCTATGAGCAATGTCGAAGCAGTAAGCAATGCTGGTGCAACTAAAGGTGCACCAATTAATGTTTGATAAGTTATAGTCCCTATGAGACCCGATATTCTTATGACGGCTGCAATAAAGCCAAAGCCAGTGCATCTGTACAAATAATTAATAAATTTTTATATGTTTAATTATATATCAGAATATTATCATTCAATAAATCTACAAATATTTCGTTTCATTGATTTAAATAAATAATTTCACATCTATTTTAATTACTTTTCAATCTTACTTTTCATCAAGTTAATTATGAAAAAAGAAAAAAAATTACCTTAAATGTGTAGGAAAGCTCTCAATTGTAACCAAAATAAGTGATGTCCAGGCAATTGTAAAAACTGCTATAAATCCTCCTTCAAATCCTAAAACTGCAGAACTATTTGTACCAACTAGTATTAGGCAGAGTGCCGCAACAGAAGAGAAAAATAAAGAGATCCCTATGTATATAGGAAAAATAAATCATTAATATTTTTAAAGTATATCACATTCTCTAAAATAGTGTAAATTAAATATAAAACAAACCTATCATTTTTGGTCGTTGTAAAACTGTAAGTGCAAGTCCTGCTAATGTAGCTGCAGGTATAAAAGCCAATTGCGCAACCAGATGACCATGTAATGCTTCTTCAATATAAATATTATAATCAAGATCAAGAGTTGGACATGGACCACTAAGACTCAGCTTTGTATTGTTACGTAATTCACATCTTGTGAAAGCTTGGGATGACAGATCTGTATCTACAAATCTTTGAAAAACATATACATATTAAAATATTTAAATTTTATGATATACCATCAAACATTTTTATATAGTAAACATACTTTGAATGCACAATAATACTGTCTGTAAAATGAGTTTTACTAGATTTTATACTGCTAAATTCTACAAACTGGAAAGTACAATTGTCAAAGTCAACATGACTGAGTACTATTTTTGTAAACCTAAAATATAAATATAAAGATATTTTTATATATAATATAAGACATTGAAATATCTAATTCACCATACATTTTGAAAAACCGACTTACTTGCAGTATGAAAATGTTGAATCTTTATATTGGCAATTTTCCATAGAACCACTAAATATTTCATTATTATAATCTTTTCCAACAAATTGTACAGTATGAGCTTCATACTCTGTAGCTCTTATAAGTTTAAGATATTCTGGACACCATACCATAAGACCATATAAACTTAAACAAAAATGATACTAATTAAAAATGTCCAGAAAAATATGGATTAAAAGAACAAAATCTTACCCAAATGATGCAGTTGACCAAATAAGTAAAAGCACTAAAGTTACACGTAAATGTGGTGCTGCAAATAATTCCAGAAAGGAACTCCAAAACTAAAGATGTAAAAAATATCATATTTTGTATTAAAGATATAAAAATCATTGTAGTTTATTTTTATACTTAAAATTAATTAATGACCATGCAAATCTATTTACCATTTCAACTGAGTACATTATATCTGCCAAAACGCTAGTATGAGTACTAGGTGATGGAGGTGCCAAACCACGTGGCCGTTTAGTTGGAAGTTCTAGTTCAGAGAGTTGGTACTGTGCACCTGCAGCCCCTTTTCGTGCATTATTCTTTTTATATATTCTCTATATTAAAAATATAGGACTGAAGTATATATAAAAAGCCAAAAAATATATACTATAATAATTTTATGACTACCTGATAAACCATCATAGCTTCAACATCTCTTCCTGCCTCAACAAGATATCTTGGACTTTCTGGTAGAAAGATGAGTCCAATAGTAGAACATAAAGCAGGTAAACAACATAATAATAGAAAACGATGCCAGGCACTAAAGTGTTCCTTGTTTTCCAGAACAACCATCTCTCCAGTTGTTGGTACAATTGTCCATGCTAAGAGAGCCGCATATACGCCACCTAATGCTCCTGTTGCTACAAGTATACCGGTCCATCGACCTCTGCTCAATCTTGGACAACACTCTGCGAGATATGCAAATGCTAAAGGAACAGATCCTCCCACTCTATAATAAGATTTAAATGTATTTTTCAGTATAAACAAAATATATCAAAAAATCTATCATAAAAATTAAATGAAAATATAATACCAAAAATATATTTGTACTCACCCAATTGCTGAACAGAATCTTGCTGTCATAAAAGTACCATATGTTGGCATAAATGTAGCTACACCACTAAATAAAGCATGTACCGACATGGCTGATAATAATGATCTATGCCTTCCGATTCTGTCTCCAAGACCTCCCCAAAATAATCCTCCCAGTGCAAGACCCATGAGAGTAATATTGGCTACGATATATAAATATTTTAATTAAATTATTGATATTAACAATGAAACAATATGGAATATAAATTTTACTAACCAAGCCATCCTTTTTCATTATCTTCAATACATAGTTCAACTTCAGCACTTGGTAATATATATGGGACAACAAAAAATTCAACAGTATCAGCAGCTAAACTTAGACCTGTACACAATGTTGCTAATAATTGGAAGTAACCAACGCCAGCCTAAAATGAAATGATAATATTTTAGAAAAAAAAAAAAAAAAAAAAAGAAAGAAAGAACTTAAGCAACGTTCACTTTTAATATTAATAAAAAGACATTCACTTCTGAAAGGTACTATGCAATTCTTTTCAATGTAAACATATTTTAAATCAATTATATAATGATAGAATAAATAAACACAATATCAACAAATTTCTCTTCGTATTTATTATATATAATTATTCTACCAAAATTATATATAATTATATGATATCCTTGTAATTCACGTAAAGATATTTACTGGGATATCTTGTAAATAACCATCGATCCTTTGTGATGTATATCTTGTTTTAACGATTGATTCATCTAAAACTTCGTCCATATCGTAATCACAAATTTGACGTCTAACAAAATGAAAATTCTATATATTATTTTTACGAATAAACTAAAACGAATCGGCAAAAGACGATGCCGTTCGGTCTTAGACATCAGTTTTGTTAGTCCATTATTTCGATTTGATTGTGTTCATTTTAGTTCGTTCACCCGACAAGAAAAAAAAAATAAAAAGAAAACACAGCATCCCGCTGCACTGTTCGTATTTATTCGTTTCTGTTCGTATTCATTCGTAGCTCTTTGTCCTGGTCTTAAAAAGCCAATGAAAGAAGAGGGATAGACTTTGTTGATTTGTTATTGGTTGACAGCCAATCAACAATGCTCTATTGGTATTTTTGAATAAGATAAACAAAAAAGTCGAGGAAAAACTGAAGAGATAAATAATAGAAAAGATAAAAGAATTAAAAAATATCCTTCTTTTACCTGCTTTATTGCATCCTCATGAAATTGTGCGAGGAGTGTAGCATCTGCCGTTGAGTCGATCAAATCATGCTCGGCGGAATCGGCCGAGGGGGCGTTAGCGGTGGCATTGGCCGAATTAGCTGTTTGTGTCGTCATTTCTTCGGTGTAAAGGCCACCCCTAATATTCAAGGAACGATCTCCAGTTCCGGTTATCGTCGCACCACCACTGGAGGACGTTACACCACCCCCGCTGCCAACGAGCCACTGGCTTTCCTCCTCCGATGGGGGCATTACTGCCACAACTCATCTGAAAAAGTGTATCATCCAACCATTTTGCCTTCATTCCCATTAAAAAAAAAAAAAAGTAAAAGAAAGAAGATACAATATTATCTATCCTTTCTCTCTCTCTCTCTCTCTCTCTCTCTTGATTCTTTTTTTATTCGATTATGATAATACAAAAAAGTCTGTTAGCGAAATTAATGGCGTAAAAAAGAAATCAAGTCTAAGAAAAATGGCATCAAAATATAAATTCGTAAAATTGATATGATAATATACGGGAATCACAGTAAGTAATCAATAGATAAAATTGGTGAAAGTATTAAATTAATTTGATGTTACGTCACTCATATCTTCCTATATCGATACCATGCTTACGTATATTACGACTTAATGCATGTTACGTATTTAATACGGCAGTCAACCCTATCGTGTGCTTCTCCACATCGATTAGCATTAGCTTACGTATGCGAATCTTTTCTCTCTCTCTCTCTCTCTCTCTCTCTCTCTCTCTCTCTCTCTCTCTCTCTCTCTCTCTCTCTCTCTCTCTCTCTCTCTCTCTCTCTCTCTCTCTCTCTCTCTCTCTCTCTCTCTCTCTCGATAATATCCCTTGCACGTAAATGTCGCGCGTATTTACGTTCCTTGCGCACGCGAAAGCGTGACGCGTTTCTCTCGTAATGGCATATATGTTATACATAACTACATGCACGAAAGACACGTGTCAACCTTGCGTCAATGCCGAGTAAGCGAACAAGCAAGCAAATAAGCAGGCAGGCAAGCAGGCTGACGAAAAGACAGAGGAGGAGAAGGGGACAGATGTCTATCGATGTCTAGCTTTAAAATCTATATTCTTTATTTGTTTAATCATATTAGATTCTTATCGCACAGTGTTATTATTCAAAAGTGTTATATTATTCTAATACCAATCGATTAATGACGAAAGTAGTGATTTTATATATATACATAAAAAAAAATTTTTTAAATATGAATATAAAATGTCTGAATTATTATTGGAATAGGATAAAACTTATAGATAAAACCTATAGACAAAATTTGCTATATGAAATCTTTACAAATTTCACCTCCTATGGTAAAGTTCTATTGTAATTTTTAAATCACTATAAACACTTGACGTACTTGACATACTCTTTGTGTCAAACAAGTAAAACTCGTCTCTCTCTCTTTCTCTCTCTCTCTCTCTCTCTCTGTTTATTCGGGTCAATAAGAATTTGTGTAAATCAAAAAAGGGAAGACCAAATTGACGTAAAACGTAGCTGGGCGCTTTATCGATATTTTTATCGGATGTATGTTATGTATATATACAATTTAGATCCTCTCTTCCGAGACGAATAAAGGTTACACGGGCGATATAATTGAATTGACCTATGGCATAAAAGGAATAGAGAAAAGAAATTAACAAATGGCGCATGCTCAAGGTGCTAATTATATACCTCGCTGTGTATTATAATCGCGAAATATAGTGGATAATAACTAACATTTTTTACATTGAAAAAGTAATAACAATGAGTATACTCGTCATGCTAAACTATTCTATTTTATGCCATTTAATAACTATTTAAATATCAAATCGTGATTATCTACTTTTTTGCATTACGAGTATATTTGTTATAACATAAAAAATATTATCATTTTTTCATGAGAAATATATCCATAATTAGCAGATTAAACAATGTATGCAATATATATATATATATATATATATATGTGTGTGTGTGTGTGTGTGTGTGTGTGTAAATTGACGACATTAATTTATAACGAAGAATACCAGAACGCGACGAAGAAGCTATTTTTGAATGTCGCGCAGAAGTCTTACCCTCTTTTCTTAAAGCTAGTAATGACCCGGCAAACGTGCACGTCTCTCTCTCCTCAGTGAATGCCTTTTCAGTAACGAAGAAACTCGTCAAGTCCGTATAAATGGAAGTACAAGGTTGTTTGACATGGCCGAAGTGAGTGCAATAGAAATAGATAATTCAAGGGAAAAAAAAAAGGAACGATACTTTGTTCGCATATCTTATTTATCGATGGATGCACTATAGATATCATTGAGATAGTATCAAATATATATACATAAGTATGTGTGTGTGTGTGTGTGTGTGTGAGTGTATGTACATTCACAAATTTGATATTAAAAAAATGTATTTTAAAAATATTTTTGAACATTGCAAAATAATAATGTATACATATTATCGATTACATATTACAGGATAGAAATAAAAAGATAATTTAAAACATGTGGAAAGATTCTAGACATAGTACTGTCGTTGAATTTTAAGATCGGCAGAATCAAACTATTTGTGAGAGAGAGAGAGAGAGAGAGAGAGAGAGAGAGAGAGAGAAGGAGAGGGAGAGAGAGAGCATGCAGAGATCAAGTAGAGATGACAAAAATAGGTGGTACGACGCATAGTGTACGAGGCTATCTAATCCCCTATATACGGAAGTCGAATTCCAGTTCGTTACTCATACATTTAAGTTTCCATCGTCGGAAAAGTTTCAAGCGTAAAGACTATCTCGTCTGTTTGCTTGTTACTGGCAATAGTAATACTTGTATACTGCGATCGATAAAGAGTAATGTATACATATATACATATGAGTAAATATATATAGAAGTGTACTGAGTAAAGGACAGAAAAAAGAAAAAAAGTAATAGATAATAAAAAAGAAAAAAAAAAGAAAGGAAAACGATTAATTTATTCTAGAAAAGATTTTTTCAAAATTTTATTTTTAGAACAATTATCATTTTAAGATGGTTACTTTTGTTTGGATTTGAAGATTCTCAAAACATGTTCCACGGAAACCTGTAGTTCTATAAAAAAAAATTTATTGGATTCCGGAGATCAAATTATTTTAACAGTCAAATTTAATATTATTCGCGTTGGGAATGGTATGCATGATTCAACAGACATCTACATTATAAAGAAACGTTTCGCAACTTTGTTGTCGTGCGGCTTAATACATTTGGTTGCAATGATATCCACTACCCAAATTTTTATAATATACAATTTTTAAGAACCTAATAGACTAGAGTCGCTATATATTATTTTTAAAATTCGACTGTTATTACAATTTCTACAGGAATTTTGTGGAAATCTTTCATAAATTATCTAATCACTTTTTTTTCACTTTGACGTAAAGCAACTGTAACCATTTTACGGCTCATTAATCTCTTAATCAGAAATACAACTTCAATGGGCATGCTGACATTTTTCGTTATGGTGCTTTAAAAATTAATCTTTATTCAGCATTCTATTTCATTTTTTACTATTCTATTTCATTTTGTACCTATCTCAAAGCTTCTTAGTAGAAAGATATTTTGCCGATTATATTTCCGACAACAATTCAAAAGCAAACGTAATCAAAAGATTCTTTCGGTGTTATTCGAAAAATTTGAGGAAAGAATCGATATTCTGGTGTTTCCATTATAACGTTATTTTGTGCAACCCTCAATGTTTCAAAGATTATCATACAGGAAAATAATTTCATATAACTTCGTTTTATTAATTTTTTTATATTTGAAAAGAAAATTTTTTGCTTTAATATATTTTATCAAAATATTTTTCATGAACAAAATTTTTCTCTTCCCTTTTTATACTTTAGACTCAATATAATAAAATTGCCTTTGTGAAGAAAGAAAACCCCATTGTGAAATGAATTATTTATAACGAATAAAAATAAATTCCCCTGTTAAAAGGTTAAAATTTTAACACGACCTATAGGTTAAGAAACACTTATAGAGGGTTTCATGATTTTTGAAAAATTTTCTGAGGGTTTCACAACAACAAAAATTTGGGAATACCTAATTTAGAGATTAGATATTAAATATAAATTAAAATCTTACTATTATGATTTAATCTTATCTAATATAAATAATATTAATATATTTTTTTTTTGTATCTATTAAATATTTTTTTTACTTTCTATATAATTGCATGAAAATTGCATAAAAAAAAAGTTGAAAATTGAAGAAAACATTTACAAAACTATATATGCACATAAAAAAACATTTATGTATTAATATTAATTATTATCTTTTTACTATTAGTATTATTATTTGTATAAAATGAATATTTTCTCTTCTTTTTTACTTTTTATTATTATTCTAATATTATTATTTTTATTATATAAAAATAATTTATATTTTAATTTAATTTTATTTAAAAAATGAATTATATTTTTATATAATGAAAATAATATTATTAGAATAATATTATATAAATTAGCATCTTTATTTTCGAAAAGGATAAAGCTAAAAAAGAAATTGAAAATAAAATTAATGTTAAGGAAAATAATAAAATAAAAAAATAATCAAATATAAAATAACGATGGTAACGTTGATAACCGACGATAAGATAATGATGATGATAATAATATGCTGAAATGAAGTGGGAACAAACTTCAATCTCAATTTCTTCTTTAATTTCAACATTAACGTCAACATCAACTTCCATTTCAACTACAATATTTTTCTTTAACTTCAACTTCACCTACTCCTTTTTAACTTCGATTTCTTCTTTAACTTCACTCTCTTCTCTAACTTTAACTTCTTCTTAATATTAATCTTCAATACCTTCTATAACTTTAATCTCCTTTTGCAACTTCACTATTTTACTCTCTTTTTTAACTTCAATTTCAATACGCATACGAACGTACATACCCACGTACACATAAAAAATATTATATCCGTTACAAATAGAAGAATATATTTTACAATCGACGCGTATTTACATATCTTTCTATCACGGTAGTCCGATAAAAATCGATGATGAAACATACATAGTTGTACTATGCACGCCCTCTATAAATTTTCTAAACTCGATTACTTTGACATATATCGATCATTAGCAATAATAGTATCTAAAACTTCGTATGATTTTTTAAGATACCATTGTAGACGCAAATATTTAAAGAGTCACAAGAGCGATAAAAAAGTGTCGTTGGCCAATGATATCTTTTATCTTCTTCAATGTCAAAATAGAAAGAGATAGAACAATAAGAAATAAGAATCGAATAGAATCATTTTGGAGAGAGAATTGATATTCCAATAAATTTCTTACGAACTTTGATGATCGATCGATTTTGAACAAAAAAAGGGGGGGAGGAGGAGGGGAAATGAATGCAAGGAAAAAAAAATAAAAAGATTAAAAAAGAAAATGAAAAATGGCGCATGACATTGGAAAACGCGACGCGACGTTACATGCGATGCTTTGCGCGTAATAATCCGATAACCTCCTTGTTTTAAACCAAGCTCCCCCTCATTTGCTAGCGACGCTATCAAATATGCCGGTCTACGTTCCTCGTCAACGATAAGCATTATATAGAAGCGCATTCATCTCTTCTTCTTTATGTTAGATTTGTATATATATGTATACATATTATATATATATATATACATATGTTCGTACAAATTTCGAATTACTACAAAGATCGTTCTATTTCAAATTTATACGAGTGTCTCTCTCTCTCTCTCTCTCTCTCTCTCACACACACACACACACATACACACACACACACACAGACCAGAAACACACGCACGCACGCATGAACATACACACGTACGCGCGCGTTCATGTATAACACTAACTCAATCTTCTTTTTAAATAAAAACTCATGTTTCCACCTGTGCAATTACGACACGCGATAAACTTTGACTCAATGATACTAAACAGTTGTCACTTGTGTATATGTTCTTTATACGTTCTTTCTTTTTATCACGACACACTCGATCACTTTTCTTAACGTTTCTCGATCATTTTATTACTGTTATATATTGACTATACTTTTTCTTTCTTATTTGTTTTTCTTTAAAAATAATAATAACATTTATGAAAGAGACAAATTTAAATTTTCTTCGACGATCTACATATAATCAATACAATAAATTATTAATGTGAATGTGATTAAATCGAATTGTCATTGAAGTGTCATTAACTGTAAAAAAAAAAAAGAAAAAAAGAAAAAAAAAAGTGTTATCGTACTAATATCCATAATCGTTCATCATATATATATATCTCGATACATTCATTTATTTTACTTTATTAACGCACACTTGTAACTCTTGCTTTCTGATTAGACATACAATGAAGAATATATATATATATATATATATATATATATATATACACACACATATACACATTTATAGATTTGCATAAAAATAAGTACTTGTAAAAATAAGATTGAAACTACTATGAAAATTTCTCTATATTATTCAACTTCACGTTTAAAAATATAAAAATGATAATAATCGAATAAAATAAAATATATTAAGACAATTTTTGATTCGAGTTATTCTTACCTGGTTAATAAAAAGTCGTTTTCGCGGAAACCGGCACCGACACGTAACTATTTTCTTCTCTTTCTCGTTCTCTTTCTCTCTCTCTCTTTCTTTTTGTCTTCTTCCTTTTGGACACTACCTCTCTCTCTCTCTCTCTCTCTCTCTCTTTCTGTCACAAAACAGAAGCGCGTATGACTCTATCGTTGATCAATTCCACTGTCTTCGTATGCACACTTTGATCCTTCACACACACACTCCTTTTTATCGATCGACAATAAAACTTAATTCCAACGTGAATGCTCTTCTTTTTAATCACCTAATGGACCGAACATGATTTTACCCACCCTTATTTCTAACTACAATTCTACGATATCGGTCATTATGGCTTGTAATAATTTACACTCGCACTTTTATATATCTTCTTCGAATTCGATTGTAACGAAAAAAAAACAAAGAAGACCAGAAAAAAGGGGGGAAAAAAAAAGAAAGAAAGAAAGAAAGGAAAGAATACGAAACGATAATTCGATAAAACAAGTAATACGAATATTATATTTTAATCTATCGAAAAATTACGTTACATTGTTACGCGAAAGAAAGTCCCTTATTGATATTTCGAAGGTCGTTCTCCGTCCGATCATTGTCCTACCTCAAGGCATCCCTGTTGTGCAAGGACAAAAACTTTTTCTACTAATCGAGTTAAGAATTCTTTTGCATTCTTCTCTTTTTCGTTTTTAAACTCGGTTTTTTCCTTCCTTTCGTTTGAACAATTTTTCTTTTCTTTTCTTTTTTCTTTTTTTTTTTGTACGTCGTCGTCGTCGTTTTCTACAATCTTTTCTTGTTTAAACACTTGTCTTAACACTATCCTTCTTTCACTTCTTTCTTTTTTACACCTTGTCTCTTTCGGGAATTAATTTATGAAAGGGTAGGTAGAATGCTGATAATATACGGATGATATATATGAATATGAGAAGGGGAGAGAGAAACAGAGAGAGAGAGAGAGAGAGAGAGAGAGAGAGACAGAGAGAGAGAGAGAGAGAGAGAGAGAGAGAAAGGGGGAAAGAGAAAGAGAGAGAGAGAAAGAGAGGGAAAGAGATAAAAAGCCCTTTTCTCCCTTTGTTAACAGCTACGAACAAAACTTCCAAGTTTTTATATCGTAACACGATGGTACAACAATGTCAGCATACTTTGGCTTATTCTTCGTTTGTCCGTAAAAAGCGATCGACTCGCTGACATTTTCGCGCTACGAAGGAAACAACAAACTACGTGCGTATCGATTTGACGCTACGCCTACGAGAACGACGAGATCACCTTCCTGCCCGTCCAAAGGGGAAAGAGTAAATGTGTAAGAAAGAGATGGAGAGTGAATGTGTAAGAAAGAGACAGAGAGTGAGTGAGTGAGTGAGTGAGAAAGAGACAGAACTCTGGCGCCCTCCTGTTATCCCCACCAGTACAACTCAACGCTTTCCCCTCTCTCGGCTCACCGTTCAATGTTCAAGCAACGATTTACGAAAAGATCGAAAGTTCATCGAAATAGTCCTAATTATATCGACAATTTTCATTTCAAATTAACAAAAACAATTTTATTCCAATTTATACTTGATCAATTAACAAATCGATTTTTTTTCCACTTTCCAAAATCATTCAAAATAATTCTGAGCGTTTTCACCGCATTGTTCGTTTTTAGTTGAGAGCCAAGTAGTATCTTGAATTCATAAAATACGGATGAATCATCGTCTTTGGCTCTGCGCTAAAGGTTTAATTTCGACTTACCCGAAAGTCGCTATTATCCTTCTACCAGAATACGATATGCATATTTCGTAAAAAATTATTTTTTCAATTCGATTGATTTTCGTGAATATCTATTCATTTAAATAATCGTTAAAATAACAAATACTTTATATTTATGCACGTTTTAATATGCATCAACGATAAATAAAAAGCATCCCTCTTTGAGTAATAAAACTTTTTTCTGAAGTTTTTATTTGGATAAAAGTTTCTTATCATGGAATGCTAATTCATTATTTGAAACTTTATGTCAGAGAGACGTATATTTCTTTTATAACTATTAATTTATAGCTATTAAACTTTGTTTATGAGGATAGGCGATATAACTACGCATAAAAATCCTTATTAAAAGCATACATGTACGTATGTATGTATGTATGTACGTATGTGTGTGTGTATGTGTATATATATATATATGTATATATATATATATATTTCCATTAATCATCAGACATACTATCCTCCTCTACAATTTTTTCCTTTTCCTCTAATTTAGTTCGAGCAATTAACTCTTTAGCTGGATTAAAAACACCATTAGTCTGTACATTGCAAATGTAACACCTTGTAGTCTTCTTGTAATGTTCTAAAGCACACTTTTCACAGAAATAGTGTTTACATCTGTAAAAAATATAATTATTTAGTTATCTCATTATTAATTTGAGATATATAATTATTAATTTAATCATGAAATTTTAGTATACATACTTTGTAACAATTGGATCGGTGAAACTGTTTCTACAAATGAAACATTTAAATGGCAAAGATTCTTCATCGCTATCTATTTCATATTTCTTGTCATCTTCGTCTCCACTGTTGTTATATTCTCCAGTAGCTGCCTCTCTTTCTAATTGCCATCCAAGTTTATAATCGGAACGATCGTGAAGAAATTTACAACTGTCTGTAAATAAGAATACAATTTTATATAGTGGTTAATCGGACTATAATTTAAATTAATAGCAGTTTTTGCTAACCTCCAAAACCACAAAATCCAGTTTCTTTATAATCTTTGCAGATATCTGGTTGATAGTCCCATCTAACAGTTGCCCTGAGATTAGCTGGAGCACGGATTGGTCCTTTACGAACCATACCACTGGATGCATTTCCTGCTGCAGTATCTCTTTTTTTATAATACTGTGCATAATTATTAAGACCTCTGTAAATTTTATCATCTTCTTTTCCTTCAAGCTCCTAAAAGATATTACACCAATCTATTTACAATATGTTGATAATTATAATAGACCCTTTAATTCAATTGAATTAAAAAATTACTTCATTAATCTTCTGAGCCTTCTCAAATAAAGCTTGAGCATCCTTGTCCTTTTCAGTTTCAGTTTCCAGAACGGCAGTTGCTCCCTGATCGCTTGGCCCTGCTGGCATAGGTGTCCTGTTGCTTTTATAAGAAACTGTCACACTATCATCCTCGCTACTGTCATCATTGACAGATTTGTGATGATATCGCTTTGTGTTTGTCTGTAAATCACTATGATTATACAATTTCCTACTTCTTATTAGAACAAGAGCTTAATAGAAGAATTATTGTTTAAAAATTTTACTAGTGTAATGTTAGTACGTCGTTATATTGGATAGAGATTAACGATAGAGATTTATCTTTTTGGTGTTTACTTACACTTTGTCTCATAGGATTACGTTCATCGTACTTTTTTTCTTTTTTAACGACCGTAGTTTCATCTTCGCTACTTTCTATAAGATAAAAATATGAAATTAGAACGATAGAACGCACATAACCTATAAAGTAGTTAATTGAATTTACGTAATAAAATTAAAAAATTCTTAAAGCGATCTGAAACTAATGTTTAGTCTTTTATATACACTTACCATTGTCGTCAAGTTCTTTACGCTTTCTTGATACTTTACTTCGTACTTTCCTTTTTTTAAATAAAAAAGTACAATTCTTTTTGTCTGTCTCTTGCTGCACGTCTTCCATATTTGTTTTGTAAACAACTTTGGTCATACGTCTTTTTAACCCAGACGCCACTTATTTTATTTAGTTAATATTTTCAAAAGAACTTAGGGTATGTATTTGCAATATTCTATATATAGTGATAGTATTAATCATAAATGGGGGATTAACTTATTCATAATTAAATATATCTCTTGCAATTTTTCTATGTATGCGGTACTGTTACTAGGTTATGTTATGTTTATCTATATATACTTTATAATGACAGTTATAAACACTGTATAATTAAATATACTTAAACCTCTATTTAATATTTGTAGATCCTTTAAAGTCATGAATAAGAAGAAAAGTATGGCAATTGATTTCCAAGATAACATGATATTATTAACAAGAAAATATTTAAAACGCAAAATAATGTGTCCTGAAACA